GATACAAGTAACGAGTTCACTTCCAAGTGAACAACCCGATAGTCTTCTTCTTATCATAGCATACCAACCAGCGAACACCCAGCCAAGTTTAGTTAGCCAGTTTGAGTATTCGTTACACTAAGGTAGATAGCTCTTATATTAGAGCCGTACCGCTCGCCCTTAGCTAGCTTCTCTCTCTATTCTACTTTTCATAGAGCTTAATCTAATAGTCCCCTTTTTTATCCTTAATACTATCTACCTAGGTAAAAGAGCCTCGACTTAGATAGCCGTATTCGTAGTAGGTATATTTGTAGTATAGAGGTATATCGTAGTATAAGGTACATTCGTAATGTAAAGGTACATTCGTAGTAGAGGGTACATTCATAGTAGAGGGTACATTCATAGTAGAGGGCACATTCGTAGTAGATGGTACATTCGTAATGTAAAGTTGTATTCGTAGTGTAAGGGCGTATTCGTAGTATCGACGTACATGCGTAATATAAAGGTACATTCGTAATATAAAGGTACACTCGTACTACAAGCTATAATCGTAGTACAAGCTACATTCGTACTACAAGGTACATTCTCCCCTACCTAACAACTATCTACCCGTCATCTAGCGCTAATCTACAATCAGGTCATGCTAAATGAACATACCTATTTAAGTTTTCTAAAGGTTTTCTTATTACTTATACGGAATAAATATAAAGTGAAAAGTTACTCACTTAGAGTGATTTTTATTACTCGAGGTAAGTTAAGTTAAGTAGGTAGGTGCTATTACTTAACTTAATTACTCGAATTGTCTACGCTGCTTATGAAGAAAGGAAAATGAGGAGTGGGTAGTAGCCTTATCCGATTAATTCCGTTCCCGTTCCATAATATATCTGCCACTATAGTAGTATTCAAAACAAGCTTACTTATTCCCATCTATTAATCCATTCAATTCACAACCCAAGAATTAGTCCCCTCCCTCTCACAGCACGCCCAAAAAGTTCTCCCCCCCAAACTCCCCCACCCCATCCCGTCCAAACAAAAAACTCTCCGGCGGCCCCAAATAACTCGCCCTCACCCCCCCAAGATAGACAACCACCCTCTGAGCCACCACCCCAGGCTCCAACAACCAAACCCTCAAAGTCTGACGTCCCACCCTCCCAAGATCATGAGTAGTAACCGTACTATTCCCACTTCCCACCCCCCACACCCCATCCGCTACCGCCTGTCCCCACCCCTTGGGATAATCACCCCCCGTAAAATTACTCACAAACTGCCGTACAATGGGTGCTTCGTCGTTAAACGCCATAGCGTACCGCAGCGGCCGTGGGGAACCTAGGTAATTCAGCGACGGCGAGAGGTGCAGAGTCACGTTCGTACGCGGGGAGGATGTGAAAGTAAAGATATCGTATTCGAGGATGGGGCCTGTACCCACGATTTGGGAGGGGGCGAGAGGGGGCGTGAGTGTCACGCCGCTGAGGGTACGGCCGTAGGAGTGGAGGATTTTGTAGGAGATGCCGTTGACAGATGTGTTTCGGGTGCTGTGTTCCGCTTCGATGGCGATGTGTTTGTCGCTCTCGACGAAGCCGGTGAAATCGGAGGGAACGAGGACGTTGGTTACTGGGACGGTGATCTTCGGGGCGTCGAAGGAACCCCAGGTTGGACAGGAGGATGTGATGTTGATGTTTACGTTTGTGCTGTTGGGGGCGGGGGGTGCCTTGCTCCAGTCGATGGAGACGTAGATGCGTGTGTCGGATCCGTTGCCGCCGGTGTAGCCAGTGGAGGGGGAGACGAGGACGTAGTCTTTGACTGGTGTTGCATTCCAGGAGCAGCCGGAGGTTCCCCGTGCGAAGAGGTCGATGTAGCGTCTTTGTGGGCCGTAGGGATCCATGGGTGGGAGTTTGAGGGTGTTGCTGGAGTTCTCGTGCCAGGCGTCGTCGCCTGAGACGGTGGCGTTGGAGCCTTCGACGCTGACGCCGATGTTGCCTGCTAGGGAGGTTTCCATGAGTTGGGTGTAGGAGAGGGGAGGAAGGGTGTTGCGCATGGGTTGTTGCCAGTAGCCGTCGAAGAGGGCGCCTTTGTAGGAGAGATCGTATCCCAAGTGTGTTTCTAACATATTAGCACTTCCAATTTTCTTCTTCAAAGATAGATAGGAGACTTACGATCAAGAATATGATTCCACTTCCCATCCAACAACTCATGATACCTCTTCGTCAAACGATAATCCTCAAAGAAATACTCCCTCACCTCATCCGCTATCCGATTCGCACTATTCCGTCTCTGCTGCGCATAAACCCGATTCTTCGCCGCACCAATATAGATCTGATTCACCACCTGGCCACCCAACGCAGGCTGAAGAATCATCTCGTAATACGCCGGCTTAGACTCCTCATCAAGACGATCATAAATAGCTTGAGCATCTTTCGCAAGCGCAGCCCATTGTGCAAGGACGGCATCCGCTTCGTTGTAATTAACCACCGAGTAGGTCCCTGCTTCAATCAATTCGTACTTTCTCCTCGCAGCAAGCATTCCGTATTTTGACATGACTGCTGCGATGCCATCTGAATGCTCAGCTCCGAATTCTCTCGTAGCCCAGCTTTTGAGCCACAAAGGGACAGAGTCGTATCCCCATTTCTGGGGATCGTAGGCCATGTCTAGGAAGTGGTTGATGGGGACTTCTAATGGTTTAAGGTCTCCAACATTCAGGATCCAGATTCGATCAGCTTTTCTGGCGTAAGCGAGTTGCATCTGATATGATTAGCTCGCGCACTGTATCTTACAGAATATGGAAAGAAGGAAGATCCTTACCTGCTCAACCGTCTTCTCCAGTTGAATCGTATTAATCCACTTATAATTCCTCGGATCCCCCACATAATCAACATGATAATAAACACCTACACCCAATTAGCACCTCCTCTCTCCAAAACCCCACAACCACAAAAAAAAAAGAATTCCTACCCGCACCACCACTCCTCTCCACCTCCCTCCCAACCGGCAACCGTCGAAGATTCCCCCAATTATCATCCGCCCAAAGCAACGTCACATCATCCGGGACTTTCAGTCCCTTCTCATAGTAACTCTGCACCTCCTTATACAGACACCACATCTGAGGAATATCCTCGACCTTCGTGCCAGTATCATTAAAGACCTCGCTTAGAACCTCTCGTTGCGTCTTGACGACATTTTGGAGGACCTCCATAGCTTGTGTTTCGGTCAAGGTGATGGCGGTGTCGCCGCTCCCTCGCATCGCCATGGTGAAGAGTGTGTTGTTGGCGTAGGGCTTTGCTCGTTGCGCGCCGACGCGGAAGAATTGCGTTAGGGAGGCGTTGTTGGTGTCGAATTCCCACTGGGTGTTTGGTTAATATACAATTTACATAGGATTTAGAGGACTTACCTGTCCGTTCCCACCATATTCCTTCCCAAATTTATTCCACTCATTCGTAGCTCTCGCCATCGGCTCTACACAACATATCAAATCAGCATAACCCATCAACCCATCAACCATCACACTTCCCCATAATTCCTCCCCAACCCCAACAAACTCCTCATATTATCACTCCTTATCTTATAAAATAGTAATCTCACCAGTATGACTACTCCCCATCACAATCCCATACGCATCAGCAACCGCCTGATTCGCCACATCATCCACACCAAACATACTAGCCCACATCGTCGGCCAGAGGTAATTAGCCTTCAACCTGAGTAACAACTCGAAGACTCTTGGGTAGAAATAATGGTTGAAACCTGGACCGTATATGCCTCTTTCGTAGTTGACGCTGGAAGAAGGATTAGTGATTGAGAGGAGTTTTTGGGGGAGGAAGGGGAAAGAAGACGGGCTTACTTGACCCAATTTGTGAGAGCGGGTTGTTCGTCGTTGATGAATACTATTACATGAGTTAGTCAACATTTATATCCTCTCCGTCTGACTTCCTTCCCCCCTCCTTCTTTCCCCTTCCCTCTCCCCCCCCCC